ACCCCCGCCACGCACCCACCCACCCCCTGGCAAGCTCAGACGCGCTTACTCCCGGGCGCCCGGCCTTGCAGAGCGCCAGCCTGCAGCAGCAGATCTCTGACGACGCGGGCGCGGCCTCCTCCGCCAGGGGCGAGCTCACGGAAATGAAGCGCACGGTGCAGACCCTGGACATAGAGCTGCAGTCCCTCCTGGCAACGGTAGGTGAGAGCGCAGGTCAGCGACTCCAAAAAGTCTAACTGAAATTCTTCCCAGGCCCCCTGTCATAACTTCATCTCCGAATACTTAGTGGAGAGAGGAGGACAGACAGACCCCGAGACGCTCAGAGAGACAGACAGCACTTCTTCTTCCCTGAGGTCTCTGAAGGTTCCTTCCCGCCCAGGCTCAGTGCCCACTTCCCGAAATGGGTCCTTTCTTCAGCTGGATGCAAAGCAAACAGCAGCAGCATTGATCTACCCGACAATCAAGTGGCAAGCTTATGTCAGGCGGTCAGGCAAAGCAGAGCTGGTATCACCAGCATCTCCTAATATTGCTGAAGTCCTGTTAAAGGCCACACTGTGCTTGCCACCAGGCAAAGAAGGGGACACATCTGAGGACTGTTAGCCTCTTCAGCCTCAGGGCATCCAGGGGAGACATCCCAACCCGACACACCCCAAAAGGCTTGGCTGTCAGCCTTCTCTGGCACTTACTGCCAATTATTTCGAATGTTTCCGTGGACACAGCCCAGGAGGAAAACGGCTTCTCTTCTGGAGTGTCTGCTGGCAGCATTCAAAAGGCTTGGTTTTGAGAATTATGGCACACGTGATGGTCCAAGGGTTCCCTGTCCTCATCAGAGGTTTCACATCCCCTGAGGACACTAGGTTGACACAAAGAGTCACTATTATACAAATAACAGTAAGCAGAGAAGGAAAAGATACTCAAAACAATAGGAAGACTGATTTGATGTAGACACCCTAAAAAGGGCTAGGGCTTTCTTACTATATCGTATTTAGATTGGAAATTTTACCACTCACTAACCCCATCTGGACAACTGTGCCCCTCTCCTCCTTCACCTTCATCACCACTGCTGGCTGGTACCCAAGACCCTCCTCCCTTCCACTTTGGGCTCCTGGAACCCTCCTCTCTTCCCCATTCCCTTCTTTCCTGCAACTAGAACCTGAGGCCCTATTCCTGCTGCCGTGCTCCTGAACACAAATCCTCGCTCTCATTTTGGAGCTGCGCTGAAGGAAATAAATTCCTGAGCTCCCAGAGCAGAATTTTAAGCACTTTCACAGAAAAGCAATGATATTAGAAAGTAGCTAGATTCCGTGCAGCCAGTAGTCCTGTAGTTTGGGCTCATGAAATAATCCACAAAAAAGCCCATCTTAACTTCCAACATAATCGAATAATAGAATAAGGGTGGCATGGAACCTATCTTCCATTCCTGAGATTCTTTTGTGGTCAGATGACTTCTATAGTTTGGAACACAAACTGTGAACATGCTGAGAGTTGTCTAAATATATCTCAATGCTTCACACGCTTCCTGTAATGTACAAACTTCCAAGTTCATCCTGACCTGTCTCCACATTCACAAGCCAACCTTTACAGTAGGAAGTTGTGAGACAGAGATGCTTATGGTCTGGTCTGATTTAGGACAGTGTTAACAGTCTTGAAAAGGAGTATCATATGAGAACACTTTATCAGGGAAATTCAAGTTTTGAACACCTGGGCACGCACCTCCCTGATATCTGCCACTTGTCGCCTCAGCGTCCTGTTACTATCCTGTTCACCTTCTGCTTCTTTTCCCTGGAGAGCCCAGCCCCACCCATGTGATGTACTGGTCAGCCTGTTTATCAAAGGCAGTGCTTCTTAGCTCCCTGAGACTCCTGTTTAATAATGAATCTCTTATAACTCCCTCTTTATAATCCTAAAAATGGAGTCAAGAGATAATATATTTAGCAATACACACAAGATTTTTAAAACCAGTGTAATGCCATAACAACAATCAAGAGGAAAAATGGAAGTTTTAAAATAATATATATTTAATATGTAAACACTTGGGCCCAACTACCCTGTAATGAAACAGACTGAGGCTTACACCTTCTTTTCATGGATAAGTTTCATTTTAAACAACATAAGATTGGGAGTTGGTCCACACAAGAATACAAAGAAAATGAAAGAGTGAAAGTAGGAGTGCACACTGAGCTAATAACTAATATCAAGAGACGTAATAACCACCCGGATGTGATACGATAATAGAAAGAGGAAAATTATATTAATTAAAGTAGAGATCACATGACAAGACAAATTACAGACTATGCAAGTGGAAATGAGGAAGTATAATATTCACAAGAGTAGAGTTGAAATAATGACTTGTCCTGGCTTATGAAATATATCTCTTGTCTTGAAATCCCGCCCGTGTGAGGGCATTCACACAATCTCAAGTGCTTATTAAAAGGCCTTTGACTGATGACAGAAAATCAAGGATGAATTAGAAAAAGAAACAGCAGCACAAAAAGCAGTGGTGGGGTGGATCTTTGGAGACAGTAGTAGAGTAAGATTGAAAACAACAGGCAACTCAAAAATAAGTATGAGATCTCAAGATAAAATTGAAAGACTTCAAAATAAGATTGATTTCTTATTATGGTACGCCCCCCCAAAGTGTTTTAATATAAAGATTGGTTGTTATATGAAACAATACCTAAATGTGTGAATGTCTACTGGAATAATCAGAAATCTGTGGGTCAGGTATCTCACTCCAGGACATCCATCAGGCCCGCCCACCCCCACCCCACCACCAAGTAAACGCCAGTCACTTCCCCTTTCTCTCCACCTGCTGTTTAACTGTGACAAGTGCCTCAGATTTCCAAAGTCCACCTAGGGAGCAGTACTGCCCTTTGCTGAGAAACACGAGTCCACGTGTCCTCCCAGTGGTCCTCCTTCATCCCTTGTTGTGACACCTTTTATGTCCTCAGAAACACTCCCTGGAGTGCTCCTTGACAGAGACGGAGGGCAACTACTGTGCACAGCTGGCCCAGATCCAGGCTCAGATCGGAGCCCTGGAGGAGCAGCTGCACCAGGTCAGGACCGAGACCGAGGGCCAGAAACTGGAATACGAACAGCTCCTGGACATCAAGGTCCACCTGGAGAAAGAAATCGAGACCTACTGCCGCCTGATAGATGGAGACAGAAAGTAAGTAATGCCGTTAGAAAATTCAGTTTTTACCTATTTCAAGCCACAACCATAGACAGTCATTCCCCTTCTATGCCTCCAAGCCTCCCCTCTTCCTTCCCACTGCAGAAAAGCATGGCCATCTCTTGCCTCAACTGTCTTCTCTTCCACACTTTGTACATCACAGCCGCATCTTCATTTGCTCTGGGTGATCCCAGTCATCCCTGCAGAAGTCTCCATTTGTTATCCTTTTAATCCTTGTGCGTTTGAAGCTTTATCTACCTTTCAGTTCATTCCTAACATCACTGCTGTCCTGAAATAAATGTACTCTTTACAACCCCCCAGGATCTATATGTAAAGTGTATACTTTTCCTTAAGTTTCAAATTCTTGGGTTTAAAAAACAATCAAATGTAAACAAGATGGTTTTATATCCTCTCTTTAGATAAACTTTAGTTATCTAAATGTTAGATTTAGATAGCTAAAATTTTAATATTTTCCTCTATAGAAAATGAAAATCTGTTTTGGGCCTACAAAGTTTGCTTGCATTCATGTTCATCCCTTGACTCAATGAATATTTATGAAGTGATGAACAAATATTACAGAATAAATTGGATTTCTTTTAACAGCTCATGCTCTAAATCAAAAGGCTTTGGATCAGGAAGCCCAGGAAATTCATCTAAAGGTAATAAAATCTAGTTTTCTTTCTATTTCAGCAAATATTTTTACATTAATGACAATCATACACTATGGCAACAGCCTGTCTATGTTTAAGTAATTTTAACTAATGTGCTCTGAACTTAAAGTATTCTGTTGAGTGGATACAACTGTCCCAAACAATTATTATAAACCAATACTTAACTCCCTCAACAAAAAATTATATTACAACAGTGGAACTCTTTGTCATGTAATATTTTCAGTTGAATATGTGTATTACATATGTTTTATTTCTAGATTTACCCAGAACCACGCTGATAAAGACGGTGGTTGAAGAGATAGATCAACGTGGTAAAGTTCTTTCATCAAGGGTTCAGTCCATTGAAGAGAAGACATCTAAAATGACCAATGGCAAGACAGAACAAAGAGTTCCTTTCTAATTGTCACTTTTGAGAAAAGAATCATTTGGGGAAATATCCTGGAAAACTTCATTATTCTAAATATCAAGGAGATAATAAAAACACTTTCTACCCTTAAAGATTAGTTACTTACCAAGAAAAAAAAACCCTGTTGTCTTAGTTACCTTTTACAGGAAGTTGGGTGTTTATTTTCAAATAAATAAAAAAGTTGATGTGCACTTATGTTCATTCACTCATGACAAATAAATAATTGAGAGTTATTTTTTCCATGTCTAATTCATAGGGAAACATTTATGGAATATATTTTAACTGCCTTTTGCCCTAGCTTTATATAATAGTCAATACCATATGGCAATTAAATATTAAACATTCACTAGGCATAATCTTTGTTGTTGTTGTTGAGTCGTTAAGTCACATCCAACTCTTGTGACCCCATGGACTGGACTATAACCTGCCAGGCTCCTCTATCCATGGGATTTTCCAGGCAAAAATACTAGAGTGGGTTGCCATTTCCTTCTCCAGGGTATCTTCCTGATCCAGGGATTGAACTCATGTCTCCTGCATTGCAGGTCAATTCTTAATGCTGAGCCACTAGGGAAGCAGGCATAATCTTTAAATCATTTTCACATGAGCAAGCAATCTGGAAGGAAATCAGTCCTGAATATGCATTGGAAGGACTGATGCTGAAGCTGAAACTCCAATACTTTGGCCACCTGATGTGAAAAACTGACTCATTGGAAAAGACCCGGATGCTGGGAAAGCCTGAAGGTGGGAGGAGAAGGGGACAGAGGATGAGATAGTTGGATGGCATCACCGACTCAATGGAATTTGAGTAAATTCCAGGAGTTGGTGATGGACGGGGAGGTCTTGTGTGCTGCAGTCCATGGTGTCGCAAAGAGGAGGACCCAACTGAGCGAGCGACAACTGAAGCAATCTGGAAAATTTTTAGAAAATTTCCTGCGATTGAAAACTTCCACCTCTAGATGGCACATTTCTGGTGTTTCACCTATGAGCCTATCTCGGACTCATTTGGAGATCTGGATACTTATCAGGATACCATTCCCCATAATCAGGATAATCTCGACAGATGTACAGCAAAGAATCTCATGCCACTGACTTTTTTCTAGAGCAGAAGTTGGCAAGCTTTTTCTCTAAAATATTGGGCCCAGACAGTAAATATTTTAAGCTTGGCAGGCCATAAGTTCTCTATTTCAATGACTACTCAACTCATTCATTGAAGTAGACAGCAGCCATAAACAATGGATAAGAAAATAAGCATGACTACCTTCCAATAAACTTTAGTTATAGACACTGAAATTTGAATGGCCAATAATTTTGACATGACAAAAAATATTTATCCTTCTTTGATTTTTTTCCAACCATTTAAACATAAAAAAATATTCTTAGCTCATGGACTGTACATAAACATAGGGTGGGCAGATTTAACCCATGAGCAGCTCTTCTAGAACTTAAAATTTCATGAGGTTGATGAATACAGCTTTCCATATTTCTCAATCAAAGTATATGATAGGGATTCCCAACAAATTTTAAACTCTGCAAAGGAAGAACAACTCTCATATTTCTCAAATTTGTGACTGATTCTAATGAGAAGCTTCAATGAGGGCAGGAATTCTACCAAACAACCCAATGGTTATATGGAAGTTCAAAGAAGGGGCAAAAAGGATATTTATAAAATCTTGAGCCAAAGGTCACTAAATGAAGCAAATAGTAGAAGTTGATGGGGAAATAATTTCCCAATGGTACAATGTATGGGCTTCCCAGGTGGCTCAGAGGTAAAGAATCTGCCTGCCAATGCAGGAGACGCAGAAGACGCAGGTTCAATCCCCGGATGGAGAGCTCCTCTGGAGGAGGAAACGGAAACTTGCTCCAGTATTCTTGTCTGGAAAATTCCATGGACAAAAGAGACTGGCGGGCAACAGTCCATGGGGTCACAAAGAGTCGGACATGACTAAGCAATGAGCACACACAAGCACAGTGTATAGGGCCAGCTGCATAACTTGCAGGGCTCAGTGCAAAATGAAAATGTGGAGTCCTATGTTCAAAAATCAGCAGAAAAAGCATCACTAAAGGCACTAAAATAAGTTGTTTTTTTTTTTCCTTCTGCATTCATACTCTCGACGTCATAGTTTTGGAGTAGGATTTTTTGGCCATTTAATGTCATTAGGTATGGTAAGTCACTCCGTCATATCCAACTCTTTGTGACCCTATGGACTGTAGTCCGCCAGGCTCCCTTGTCCATGGGATTTTCCAGGCAAGAATACTGGAGTGGATTGCCATGCCCTCCTCCAGGGGATCTTCCCAGCCCAGGGATTGAACCTGTAGCTCTTACGTGTCCTGCATTACCAGGCAGGTTCTTTACCACTAGCGCAATGTCATCATAAGTACATAAAAATTAAAAATTTAAGCTATTGGCATGAATTTTACAGTTTCATATTGTGCAATGACAGTTTTAAATCCAAATACAAGAACATGCAGTCAATGAAATTACACAATTCTTTTTTTTTTTTTTGCTGATCTCCCCCACAGGACATGAGGGATCTCAGTTCCCTAACAAGGGATGGAACCCACGGCCACTGCAGTGGAAGCACAAGTCTCAACCTCAAGACCACCAGGAAAGTCCACAACTCATATACTGTAGCTCATACATGCATATGCATTTTATTCTTATCAAAACAGTGGGAACACTGCATCAAACAAACTCAACTATTTTTAAATTTCACTTTATAGGCTCACATTCTACCAACACTCTTCACCACTGGCTTTCTGATAAGTAAGAAAAGACAGAAAAGGACACAGGGGGATTAAAGATCTAAATGTAAGACCAGAAACTATAAAACTCCTAGAGGAGAACATAGGCAAAACCTTCTCTGACATAAATCACAGCAGGATCCTCTATGACCCACCTCCCAGAATATTGGAAATAAAAGCAAAAATAAACAAATGGGACCTAATGAAACTTAAAAGCTTTTGCACAACAAAGGAAACTATAAGCAAGGTGAAAAGACAGCCCTCAGATTGGGAGAAAATAATAGCAAACGAAGCAACAGACAAAGGATTAATCTCAAAAATATACAAGCAACTCCTCCAGCTCAACTCCAGAAAAATAAATGACCCAATCAAAAAATGGGCCAAAGAACTAAACAGACATTTCTCCAAGGAAGACATACAGATGGCTAACAAACACATGAAAAGATGCTCAACATCACTCATTATCAGAGAAATGCAAATCAAAACCACAATGAGGTACCATTACACGCCAGTCAGGATGGCTGCTATCCAAAAGTCTACAAGCAATAAATGCTGGAGAGGGTGTGGAGAAAAGGGAACCCTCTTACACTGTTGGTGGGAATGCAAACTAGTACAGCCACTATGGAGAACAGTGTGGAGATTTCTTAAAAAACTGGAAATAGAACTGCCATATGACCCAGCAATCCCACTTCTGGGCATACACACCGAGGAAACCAGATCTGAAAGAGACACGTGCACCCCAATGTTCATCGCAGCACTGTTTATAATAGCCAGGACATGGAAGCAACCTAGATGCCCATCAGCAGACGAATGGATGAGGAAGCTGTGGTACATATACACCATGGAATATTACTCAGCCATTAAAAAGAATTCATTTGAATCAGTTCTAATGAGATGGATGAAACTGGAGCCCATTATACAGAGTGAAGTAAGCCAGAAAGATAAAGACCATTACAGTATACTAACACATATATATGGAATTTAGAAAGATGGTAACGATAACCCTATATGCAAAACAGAAAAAGAGACTCAGATGTATAGAACAGACTTGTGGACTCTGGGAGAAGGCGAGGGTGGGATGTTTCAAGAGAACAGCATTGAAACATGTATATTATCTAGGGTGAAACAGATCACCAGCCCAGGTTGGGTGCATGAGACAAGTGCTCGGGCCTGGTGCACTGGGAAGACCCAGAGGGATCGGGTAGAGAGGGAGGTGGGAGGGGGGATCGGGATGGGGAATACATGTAAATCCATGGCTGATTCATGTCAATATATGACAAAAACCACTACAATATTGTAAAGCAATTAGCCTCCAACTAATAAAAATAAATGGGAAAAAAAAGGACACAGGGTCACCTTTTCTTTCTATTTCACTGTTTTCAGGAAGTAGTTGGCTAATACAGGAATGTAATAGTAGTACATGATAGGATTCCTTGATCATTCGTGTATCTTAAAATACCACTGCCTCTGTCTACATTCAAGGCAAGTTCCATTTAAGTGGGAAGCCTGGCCTCTTGGGGTTGTTAGAGACCCTGCTTACTTGCTTATAGACATATCATACTTACCTTGTACACACCATCAGGGAAATTTGTTCAATGCATTCTTGTATTGGAACCCCATTCTCTGGATCCTAAGCTTTCCTGTTTCTTGTTCATTTTTCCCTCTAGTGACTTCCTGACAAAGTTCAAGAGAGGTAAATTTTTTGAGACTTTTTATGTCTGAAAATATATTTATTCCATCCTCACTCATGATTAATTGTCAAAGTAGAGAATTTTAGGTTGAATATCATTTTCAGTTAGAATTTTGAAGGCTTCCTTCACTGGAATCATGGCTTCCAGGACTGTTTAGAAGTCCCGAACCATTCTGATTTCCTCGTCCTTGGATACATGTTGTCTTTTCTTCCGTGGTTCTCTGAAATAGTCTGTGCACGTGCCTGGCTGTGATTCTTTTTCATTTATTATTCTTAGTTCTTGGTGGTCTCTTTCCATTTAGAAACTAGGTTCTTTATAAAATAGTTTCTTCATTCTTTCTCCCTTCTCTATTTCAGGAAGGCCTCCTTAAGACTGTTCTTCTTAGGCCAAGCATCTAATTTTCTAATCTTTTCGTTGATCTATCTTTTTGTCCTTTGTTCTACTGTTGGGGAGATTTTTAAAAGTTTATTTTCCAGCCAATCTGTTAACATTTGGTTGTGGAAGTTAGCTTTTAATCCCAAGATCTCTTTCTTTTTGCTCTCTAGCTCAACTTTGATGATATTCTATTTGTATTTCAAATATGCAGTATTTTTGTTACTTCTAAGGATATTAATTATACTTACTTTCTTTTTTAAAGTTTTCTTCAGCTTCTTTGATTATCTGTTTCCGAGAGTGCTATTTTTTGCTTCTTTCTTTGACTCTTTGTCTTTCACATTGCAGTATATTTCAGTGTAAGGTGATCTTCGAAATTCTGTTCATTTTCAAGAGGAAGGCCTTAAGTATTTGAAAGTTCTGTGTGTATGTGTGTGTATTTCATTCCAGGGCGGTTGTCAGGTGAGTTTCTTTTGTGGAAAACACTCAAATACCTGTATCTTGAGTCCTTTTCTCCAGGATTTTTCAGCTTCCCTAGAGAAGGCCCC